GGTTCTTACTATGTTATAATTTGCTTTTCATTCTATTATTTACTAAATTATTTATTGATTGTTTTATTATTATTTTATTAAAATTGTTTAATATAATGTTCTTACTTTATTTTTAATTGTTAAAAAAATTTGGTTTAAATCTACAATGTGTTTTAAAATATAACGGAAATTATTATGGTTATTCAATCAGATTTTAAGTTTATAAAAACTTGTTTTGAAGTTATATTTTTAAACTTGAAAATTAAAAGTTTTTTTTATTGTAAATTGAATTTTTAACAACTAGGATAATTTAAACTATAAAATATTATTCAATACTACGATTATTATTATTAAAAATGTGGTAAAATTGTATTTACCAAAAAAATATAATTATTAATTTAATATGGGACCTACATTAACCACCACCACCTCTTAAAATAGATTTATTTTTTCTATTTCGAATCATATTCAAATTAAAATTATAGTAAATGGGCGTTTTGGATAATATTAGGTCTGGTTCCCGAATTCAAAAAATGCCGAAAATTCACCTCGAGTCAGTGGAAACCGAGTGAGACGGAGCATTGAAAAGAAGGCTCTAGACACACTCAAACAGTCTGTTTGTGCACCGTTTCACCCACTTTCCAAGTCCTCCCTTGGCGCGGATCCCCCCTGACCCCCCCCCGCTTGCGGGGGGGGAACCACATCAGCGTTTAAACAGTACGGAGGAGGAAAGTGGTGAAATGGGGACGCACAAACAGTGGCTGAAAAATGGACTTTTTTCAAAAAACACTCGCGGCAAATATTTTTTTTGGTAAAGGTGGTCGTGGTCAATCTAGGTCCCATTTTAATATTATTAAAAATTTTATTATTCAATTTTTTTTTATTAGTTACATATTTATTAATTTACGAATAGTATTTATTTATTAGTAATTAATAACTAAAAAAGCTATATATTATAATAATTGTTTATAATTTATGAGAAAACCATTTTAAAAATAAATTAAGAGGATAATTGCTGTTATCAGATATTAACCTAAAGAATGATGCGTGTTGAATATAATTGTGATTGTATGTGTCAAATATGTTGTTTTATAAACCAAAAACACTTTAGTAACAAGAATATTTTTAAGGTATCACATAATGCATTATTTATCAGTGTATTAAATTGTCATCACAGTCTTAAAAATATTGAAAAACTGCACGATTACTTTATATCGTCCGAGAATAATTCTAATTATTTACACAAGTCAGTTTTTTTC